ATTGACACGTTTTTTGTGGACTTTTATGGACCTTTCTGCCTCGGGCGCCATAGACCTCCATTATTTGAATGTCAGCAGACAGCAAGAAGCCTCCCAGATCTCCAGATGCATTTGAGATATCAAAAAAGTACTCCAGAGTGTTGCTCAGCATGGGGGTGAGTAGAAAATGAAGGCTAATCATGTTTTGGGTGTACTATTCCTTTAAGCTGGGATTCTTCAACTGGACCTTTTTCCTGTAATAACAAAGTCAAAAATGAATCTGTCTTGTTTTATTTTTTGTATGCATTTGATGATGATAGTGACCCGTTCTCCTCGAAAACACAGGTGGTGTCTCTGGGACGTTCAAGTGAAACTAATATGAACCCCACTCTGCCTCAGCAGATGGCTGCTCACACTGAGCCTGGCAGAGTTCTTCCTGTTAAAAGGGAGTTTTTCCTCCCCACTGTCGCTACATGCATGCTTAGTCCGCAACTCGTCTGCTACCTTGTGAGCAGGCACCATCTGACTTCCTTCAGATGACCCCGTTTCAACCCACCTCCAGCCCCTCCACCACCATTGTAGCTAAAAAATTCAGTTTAATTCCTCCTGGACTCTTACTGCATTCCGCATCTCATTTCATTATAATGAGGTACTATCTCATTATTTTGAGTTTCTATCTAAAAAAATGAGATATTGTCTCAAAGTAACGAGATAGTATATCAAAATAACGAGATACTTTCTCATGAGATACTATCTCAAAATAATGGGATAGTATCTCATTATAATGAGATAGTATCTCAAAATAATGAGATACTATCTCATTATTATGAGTTTCTAACAAGAACAATTTTAGATATCTCAAAATAACGAGATAGTAAATCAAAATAACGAGATACTTTCTCATGAGATACTATCTCAAAATAATGGGATAGTATCTCATTATAATGACATAGTATCTCAAAATAATGAGATAGTATCTCAAAATAATGAGATAGTAATTCAAAATAATGAGATACTATCTCATTATGAGGTAGTATCTCTTAGAGCAATCTTATAATGAGATAGTATTCCATTATTTTGACATACTATCTCATGAGATTCTATCTAATTTTTTTTGAGATACTATCACACTATAATGAGATACTAACCCATTATTTTGAGATAGTATATCATAAGAGAGTATCTCATCATAATGAGATGAACTGGTTTGATTATGGTATATGGTATAGTATCTCATTATAATGAGATACTATCCCATTATTTTGAGATACTATCTCATCATAGTGAGATAAATTTATTTAATTTTGAGTGGGGGAAATGGGCTTCCAAACTCAAACCAGTTCAGTTTGTACAACCCTGAGAAGATTGCAGCGGAGGTCCTATGGTCTCAGGTTTACCTCCCCTGACAGTAATGCAGGGGTATTTACACAGTGCAGGTTGGGGGGGGTAAATGCTTTATGTGTCAGTTTGGTGAAGTGTAGCGCAGTAGCTTCAAGGCTATTTTTCCTGATGACACTGGTTCATTCAAGGAAGTTCACAAATAATTTATTATCAATGGTGATGAAAGGTGGGCTGGAATAAAAACAGCCCCATATGGAGTGTTTCAGAGGGAGAAACAGGCCTGCAGCTCTGTGCATCAAATAGAAACAGAGAAACCTCCTCTGCTGTTATCATGCATGGCAGAAACACACACGCTGGAGATGAAGTGTCCTGCTGCAGCTTCATTGTCATTCTCTCACACAGAGGAGGTAAACAAGCCCAGATGCAAACGTGCCTTTGGTCGGTGAGAGCAAACAGACCCTGGAACAGCATGCACTCTCTCCATTTTCTGCTCCTGCCTTACCTTCTGTGAGGCGAAGGACTGCGTCCAGTGATACAGAACCAGCCTGTCTTTGTTAAAGGGTTTGGACTCCGCCGTGGGCTCCTCGCACTCCTCACCGTCCGCCACTTTGCCGTCCTCCTCCATGGCTGAGATGGGCCACCAGCTACAGTTGGTGGGGGTAACATGGTTGGAAGACGCCATGACAGAGCGTTTAGTGCGTGTGGATGAGAGGAGAGAGGCGAGGAGGGGAAGGATGCAGGGAGAGGGAGGAGAGAGAGAC